GTATAGAAACACTGAAATATGCTCATGGACTACAATTAAGTTTAAGGAACAGTTTACAAAGTGACATGTATGCCATGACTATACGAAAAATATGCCCTTTGGAAAAAGATAATGGGAAGAAAATATACAAAATGGTGACTGCTTTATATCAGGTTTGCAAGATTACAGGCTATTTTTCCTCCAGATTCCAGCTTTTGGAATAAAATTTCAGGATTTCTACAATGGGGTTTTAATTGAGTTTAGTGTTGCTGGCACACATCATTGGCATCTAATGCATTTTCCCACTGTTATCTAGGCAATAGCTTTTGCAGAGGAACAGACTGAGGGGGACATGTTCTTTTGATGAAGTTTATATCTGAAACTGTATGATTGTTGGTGGTAATTATTATTTTAGATAATTTTCTAATATGAGGCTTCTATATTGCATTTGGTTTAGTTAAATTTAGATGTTATGGATTACAAGTTAGAAGGAAATATTTGTATTCTTTTGTTTTATACTATTGTGTCTCTCCTATATAGCATGTATATTCTCTACAAAGTAACTTTTTTTTTTTTTTTTTTTTTTTTTTTTTAAAGACAGAGTCTCTCTGTCGCCCAAGCTGGAGTGCAGTGGTGAGTGGTGTGATATTGGCTCACTGCAACCGCCGCCTCCCAGGTTCAAGCAATTCTTGTGCCTCGGCCTCTCGAGTAGCTGGGGCTACAGGCGCATGCCACCACACCTGGCTAATTTTTGTATTTTTACTTATCAACCAATTCAGAAAATTTGGGAGTCATGCGAGGTTCCTCTCTCTGCCTCAGTAGTCACATCTAATCAGTCACCAAGCACTGTCCATTCCACCTCCTCAGGCATTTAAAAAAATATGTATGTATTTTATTGCGTTTTAGGTTCTGGGGTAGATGTGAAGAACATGCAAGATTGCTGCATAGGTACCTACATGGTAATGTGGTTTGCTGCCTCCCTCCCCATCACCTGCATCTGGCATTTCTCCCCATGTTATCCCTCCCCAACTTCCCACCCCCGCTGTCCCTCCCCCAGTTCTCCCGAACAGACCCCAGAGTGTGATGCTCCCCTCCCTGTGTCCATGTGTTTTCATTGTTCATCACCTGCCTGTGAGTGAGACCATGCAGTGTTTGATTTTCTGTTATTTTGTCAGTTTGCTGAGAATGATGGTTTCCAGGTTCATCCATGTCCCTGCAAAGGACACAAACTCATTGTTTTTTATCGCTGCATAGTATTCCATGGTATATATGTGCCACATTTTCCCTGTCCATTCTATCATCAATGGGCATTTGGGTTGGTTCCAGGTCTTTGCTATTGTAAACAGTGCTGCAATGAACATTCGTGTGCACGTGTCCTTATAACAGAACGATTTAAAATCCTTTGGAAATATACCCAGTAATGGGATTGCTGGGTCAAACGGAATTTCTATTTCTAGGTCCTTGAGGAATCGTCACACTGTCTTCCACAATGGTGGAACTAATTTACACTCCCACCAACACTGTAAAAGTGTTCCTATTTTTCCACATCCTCTCCAGCATCTGTTGTCTCCAGGTTTTTTAATGATCATCGTTCTAACTGGTGTGAGATGGTATCTCAGTGCGGTTTTGATTTGCATTTCTCTAATGACCAGTGATGATGAGCATTTTTTCATATGTTTGTTGGCCTCATGTATGTCTTCCTTTAAAAAGTGTCTGTTCATATCCTTTGCCCACTTTTGAATGGACTTGTTTGTTTTTTTCTTGTAAATCTGTTTTAGTTCTTTGTAGATTCTGGATATCAGCCCTCTGTCAGATGGGTAGATTGCAAAAATGTTTTCCCATTCTGTTGGTTGCCAATTCACTCTAATGACTGTTTCTTTTGCTGTGCAGAAGCTGTGGAGTTTAATTAGGTTCCATTTGTCTATTTTGGCTTTTGTTGCCAATGCTTTTGTCCTCAGGCATTTTGCATCTTCCACAGTATCCCTTCCCAGTCCACTGCCTTAGATAGGCTCTCATCCCTTGTGGCTTGCAGTTTTACAATGCCATGTAATAAATCTCCTTGCCCTCCAATTAATCTTACACATTATCCCTAGACCACTGGTTCTCAGTTGGGTGTGATTTTGTACCCCAGGTGCCATTTGGCAGTGTCTGAAGACATTTTTGGTTGTCACAGCTGGGAAAAGAGGAGAGTGGGAGTTGTGGGGGAGTGTGATCGGGAAGCAAGAGGAGTTGCTACTGGCACCTAGTAGTTAGAGGCCAGAGATGCTGCTAAACATCCTACAATGCACAGGACACTCCCACTACAACAAAGAATTGTCCAGCCCACAATGCAGTGCTGAGGTTGACTGCCCTTGCTCTAGAGTGATTCTTCTAAAATAAAAACCTTCTTAAATCTCTCAAAAATGTGCTACTCCTTTTAGGGAAAAGTTTTTGCATGGGATTCATCTTTTCTTATTCCCCAGTCATACAGTAAATACGTTTTTTTTTTTTTTTTTTTTTTTTTAAGAGATGGGATCTCACTCTGTTGCCCAGGCTAAAGCGCCGTGGTGTGAACCTAGCTCACTGCAGCTTTGAACTCCTGGGCTCAGGTGATCCTCCAGCATCAGCCTCCCAAGTAGCCAGAACTACAGGCATGTGCCACCATGCCTAGCTAGTTTACTTTTTTTTTTTTAATTTTTTGAGAGTGAGTCTCTCTCTGTTACCCAGGCTGGAGTGCAGTGGCACAGTCTCAGCTTACTACAACCTCTGCCTTCCGGGTTCAAGCAATTCTTGTACCTCAGCCTCTCAAGTAGCTGAGATTACAGGCTCCCACAACCACACCCAGCAATTTTTGTATTTTCAGTAGAGATGGGGTTTCGCCATGTTGGCCAGGCTGGTCTCAAACTCCTGATCTCAATTGATCTGCCCACCTCGGCCTCCGAAGTGCTGGGATTACAGGCGTGAGCTGCCACACCCACCCAGCATATACTATTACTGCCTGAATATCCCACCTTCTCCTGACTCCTGCACCGTGTCTGCTACTTGAAGCTTCTTCTGTCTTTCTCAGACTCGGCTGGGCGACTGTCTTCTGTGGTCACCATTACAGGACAGGGAATCAGACTGAATTGTTACTTGGCTGTCTCTCTGATTGCACATTGAGCATTCAGAGGTCAGGAATCTAGCCTTTTTTTTTTTTTCTGAATCCTCATCACCTAGCACAATGTCTGTTATAGATGAACAGATCTAAACGGAGAATTGTTTAGGGCAACACAGGTGGTTAGTGGTGGAGGCCAAACCTCAAATCCATTAGCCTAATGTGGGTGCTCCACTTTATTCCACACCTGGAATGTCTTGCTCAGTTTCAGTTGCAGTAACTCAAGTGGTCAGGCCTTCTATCCTGATTCCACTTTGTTAACAGCCACATTCGTTCTTGGGCACAATAGATTCACTGCTGCCTTCCTGACTTTCCTTTTTCTTTACCGTCCTCACCTGAAATGCTGTTCTTTCACGTCTCTGTCTCCCTTCATGTTACTCTCACCGGTTATTTATTATCCAGCTCAATAAACCCCCCTACCAGTTCCCGAGCCCATGCCACGTGGGCTATATTATCATCGTTTACCTTCAGCAAAAACCCTTTAAGGAAGACATGATCCCTATTTAACAGGTGAAGAAAATGATGCAAATAGCCCTGAGGTGGTGTTCAAAGTGTGGCAGGCGAGACAGGACTTGCACACAAACATCCACAATGCAGGCACCCGGGTTACCTCCCTGTCTGCTTTGATCTCCGGTTTTCTCTGTTCCTCTTCTCTTTCCTTCTGGAAGACATTTTGGAGATAATTCTGTCTTCTGCTGAACTTTCATGAGTCAACTGAGAATCGTTTAGGGCAACACAGGTGGTTAGTGGTGCAGGCCAAACCTCAGATCCAGTAGCCTAATTCGGATGCTCGACTTTATTCCATACCCGGAATGTCTTGCTCAGTTTCAGTTGCAGTAACTCAAGAGGTCATGAACTGTCCAGCAGGGTTAGTGAGGTCAGCACAGGTGGGGCAGCCTCTGTCCGCAGCCCTGAAGCTGCATAAGTCTGACCGTGCAAGGCCTCGGAGGATTTTCATGCAAGGATTTTAAGGGGGAAGTCGCTGGAGTGTTTTAGGCATAGGAATGTGTGGAACAGATCTGAATTTTTAAAAGTTCATTGTAGAGAATTGGGGGCTAGAGTGAATGCAGGGTGACGATTTAAGAGGTGTTCCTGCTCCTTTCAGTTGAGAGATGGTGCAGCTCGGACCATGTTGCTGGAACACAGACAAGTGAACCCGCTGGAGAGATACCTAAGGAAATAAAATTGTTAGGATTTGTCCGTGGACTGCCTACGGAGTATGAATCCTGGCTACAGTGTGACCTTGATTCAGATACTTAAGGCATAATTTGTTCCTCATGGATAAAATACTATTACTTTGAGAGGTTATTAGTAAAAAATGAAAAGCGCTGTGCATACATCAGGTATCAGTGAATGCAGTTCTAATTCCTATGATGTATATGCCTTTTTTCTTTCCTCGTAAAGTGCTTTTAAAATACGGAATGAGTTGGATCTGCAGCAGCCTGTCGAAGCTGAGGGCTTTATTCCTAAGTTCTTTTTGGTCTAGTGCTTCACTAGCTCCCCTCGTACTCAGCTGGGGTGAGAAGCGGAGCGTACACGGAGGAGGGGGATGAATTTACGCCACGAGCGCACGAAGGTGTGGCGGAGGGGGCTCCAGATCTGGGAGGGGCCGATCCACGGGCGAGTCCTGGCAATTTTCCTCCCCGCTCTGGCTGACCTCGCTTCCTAGGTGAGTTTCTAGATTTTAGACTCTGGGAAGACGCGGTGAATCGAGGCGAGTGGGGGCGGCGGCTCAAGCGAAGACGGATGGCGGTGGGGCGGGCAGGCCAGACGCCGAGTCTCCGCCGGGAGCGCGGCCCCGCCCCGCTTTCCGGGGCTGCCGCTGGTGACGTCGCGAGGGGGCGGGGCCAGCTGCGGCGGCGGGGGTGGGGCCGGCCGCGGGGCGGGGCGGGAGGCGGTGCGTCGCCGAGCGCAGTCCGCGACGGCGGCGGAGTAGCCCGGAGCCGCAGACCGCGCGGGCCTGCGCCCAGCCCCGGTTGTCCTCGTCGCGACCCCTCCTCAGCCCTGGGCGCGCGCACGCTGGGGCCCAGCGGGGCTGGCCGCCTAGCGAGCCGGCCCGTCGACTCCGGCCAGCGCAGCGACCCGGCGCCGCCCGGCCCAGGCGCACACGGAAGTGGTGAGTGTCACCGGGGGAGGTGGAGGAGCCGGGGCGGCCGCGGTCGGCAGGCGAGGGGCGAGCAGCCCTGGCTGGTCGGAGGCGCGGCCGCCGCTGTCGGTCCGTCCTCACCCTGTGCGGCCCGGGCCGCTCCGGAGCGCTGCCTAGGACCCCGCGGCCCGGGAGGGGAAGGCGGGGATTTCCAGCTCCGCGGAGCCGGCGGGCGGCGGGGAGGTCGCCGGGCGGGGGCCCCGGGCCGGGAGGGGAGCGGTTATGCCGGGCCGCCCCCTCCCCCAGCGCGCACGGCAAGTTTTCATAAACAAGCCCGGAGCGCGCTGTCTGACATCCTGTTTATACCACCCCGAGATACAGGCGCGGGCTGGAGGGCTGACGTCCCTCGCTCCCTGCACCGCGAACTTGACCGCCAGCCCCCAGCCGGGGTGGGGGCGCAGAAAGGTTTTCTTCCCCGGCCCCAGGACGGAGGCTGAGGGTCTTAGCTTTTTTCCTTCCTTGCAGTCTCAGGGAGGGAAAGTTTCTGGAATTTGGAGCCAGGTGGTGGGCGTCCGCGAACTCGGGAAACGCCCCCTCCCCTCTTAGGTTCTGTTAGGAACCAGGCCCCAGGTAGCCAGCGAGAAGTGGGAAAGGTGACCGTGGGCGATAGGACCAGGGAAAGGGAACAGTGGGAGAGAACCACTGGGGAATTGCGAATTCCACTGGAAAGGGACTGATTAACCGAAACTGGGGCTGGTCTCTGGCTCCTTAACTCCAACTCCGTCCGCGCGCGGTCGGCGACTGGGCGCATCGGAGGACTAATAAACACTCCTCCAAAGTCACTGCCTAGGGTCCCTGGGATATGGGCTTCTTGGATGTGTGTCTACCAAGGAACTTTTAGATAAAAGATGAAATGTTTGTCAGGTGTTTGTGCACACGTTTTTTTGGAGGGTTTGCACTCCATGATTTCCTGTGTGTTCCTGGGGAGGGGGACCCCGTCCTTCCTGCCACTCTTACTACGTGGCTGTGAACTGCCTTCTGCCTCTGGTTGAATACATCACTACACATGTCGTTGACACTTTTTTTCCCCGAGTCATAGGGCTTTTCTCTCAGTGACAGGAATTTACAGTGGTATGAAATTGTCATTACTTCTTTCGGGGAGTAAAACATTAAAACCCTTGGGTAGTTTAATAATGAGAACGATGCAGAGACAGATGTAATCTGGGAGTGTTTGGTTTTGGCTTTTTTTTTAAAGAAAAAATTTGAGTTACGTATGGGTGTAGGCACCGTAGATTTTAAGATGAGCATTTTGTATTGATTGAATCTTTGTTCTTCCCTTTCCAAAACTCCATTATGTGATGTTTCTTGATTTTGCTTTTGGTGACTCTGATGTTTTCCAAGACCAGGGAATTATTTTCATTGAAGGATAAATGTGTTCTTTTGTACTTTGTGGTGAAGATATTAATGGAGAACACCAGGGTTCCAGACATTTCTGGTACAGTGTGCTTTGTAATGTGGAGAAAATGTCTCCCTTGTATAGATCCAGATTACATTTAAAGACGTGACTACATCTTAGTTGAATGACTATGGACATTATAAATAGGAAGAATCATAACCTCTTCTTAATTCTGTATATCATATTAACTAAGCACTTTCACTGAATCTGAGTTTCTCTAAGTAGGTACAAAACTATTTTTTTTACTGCAAGGATTGCAGTGTGATACTCCACACTGAATACAGCCAGTTTAAATGATTTCCCCCATTCCATACTATACCAGTTCTTTACTACCATTGGGAAATGATTATAGAGAATGCATACATTAGATATAGGTAAAATAATTCAAACATTTTCCAAAATATAACTATGTTTTAGTTGTTGTAATTTAGGCAATCAACGCGAGCTTGGCTAAACGTATATTCTTCTGACGGAAACAAGGATTGAGAAACGTGTAGGTTGATACTCATTTGTATAGAGAGAACAAGAGAACACTAAGGTATAACAGCATAGCAAAGACTAAGATATGTGTTTTCTAATTCTCAGATTCCTCTGGTGTTTTTTCCCCGCAAAAACATCCCATTTTGTATGTCCTTATGTCCTAATAAGAATGCTGTTAGAAGATTTATTATCTGAGATGTGAATATTTATACAAAGAAATTTTTTATTGTTCATTTTCACATTTAAAACCATTGGTTTAAGTGGATGGGGAATTGGTTTATTAACGGAGTCTTGCTGAGGAAGCAGCATTGGATGCTCTGATTTATTGTGGCTCAGTGGTATATGGAGCCTTGCCATAGAACAGGCATGTCGGAAGGAACTTTGCAGATTCTTTTAGGCCAGTAATTCTCAACTGGGTACAGTTTTGCACCCAAGGAGTTGTTTGCAGTTTCTAGAGACATTTTTGGTTGTTACAGTTTGGGGGAAGGGAGTGGTGCTATTGGTAAGCATCTAGTGGTTAGAAGTAGGGATGCTGCTAAACATCCTATAACACACAAGACAGTCCCCCATCCCGAACAAATTCTTCATCCAATAGTGCCCAGGTTGAGAAGTCCTGTTTTGGAATACTGAGTAAGGAACAAGAAGATCTGGGCTCTTGTGGTGGCAAATTGTTTCACTTCAGGCACCTATTTCCTTCATCTGCAAAGTGGAAATAAAAATATTCACCCTGGCCATCTCGCAGAGTTTTGGGGGGAAATCAGGTAAATAATGCATGGAAACTGTGACATGCTATGCAAATCATAACTAATATGAAGAGTATTTTTCATAAGTGAATCATTAGATTTACTGGTAGTTGAGGGGACCAGGGTTAAGGCAATATGTTGAGTAAAAAGCCAGCTGTGGATGGTTTGATACTATCAAATTCTTTGTTATTCATTTATTTGGGTAAAGGTTTTTTTTAGTGTACTTCATTTTCTTGTTGTCAGAACATGCACTTTTTAGCTCTATAATTTCTTTAAACAAAGGTTATTTTTACCATCATAGCGATAAGGAAAATTCAGTATAGAAAAATTAGAAAATACAAGAAAGTAGAAAATAGAGGGAACAAGTGATTCATGCTCTACTCCCTTGTCCATTTAGGCACACTCACATCTTTGCCAATTTCTTTTCTATAAGAGCAGTTAAGATTTGGAGAATTAATGATGAGAAAGTAGAGAGTAGCTGGTGACCAGGGAAGGTGCTCCTTCATTCCTTTCTTTTTAAATGTTATGATATAAAGGTAAATTACATTATAGTAGGCATCAGAGAAATTGGTTGTTTTTTTATTATTTTTAGTTTTTTTTTTTTTTTTTTTTTTTTTTTTTTTTTTGCGATGGAGTCTCGCTCTGTCGCTCAGGCTGGAGTGCAGTGGCATGATCTCAGCTCACTACAACCTCTGCCTCCTGAGCAAACAATTCTCATGCCTCAGCCTCCTGAGTAGCTGGGACTACAGGTGCGTGACACCATGCCTGGCTAATTTTTGTATTTATTTTTTAGTAGAGTTGGGGTTGCACCGTGTTGGCCAGGTTGGTCTCAAACTCCTGACCTTGTGATCCGCCTGCCTCTGCCCCCCAAAGTGCTGGGATTACAGGCATGAGCGCCTGGCCTGTTTCATTATTTTTATACTTTCCTTGCTGCCTCCAAGCCACATTCTCATTCACCTTGTTTCCTCTCTGCTTCTTCTTCTCCCCATGCTCAGCTGGGTGTGCCACTGTTGCTTCCTGTCTCACAAACCCTCTGGTAACATAGGATTTCAAACAACTGTCATGTTGAAATGACTGGGTTTCAGGGGCAGGAAACTTATTCCTGTGAGTATTCTTCCCTCTGAGGTGCACCAGCATTCTTGGCAGTTAAAGGCAGCAGGAAAGCATAAAACATTAAGCTCATTTCCGTGACACCTCCACTTCTGAGGGTTTATGATCTGTAATTCTTTGTAGTTGGCAGTGGGCACACGTTCTTCCTTGGTGCTCTGTGAATAAACTGCCCAGTCCTGAGGAGAGACCTGCTCTAGAAGCAAAAGGAAAATTTCTTTTAAATCTACCATGGCCAGAAGACAGAGCTGGCGTTTGTTGGGATATTTTTAATCTGTGCTGACTGAATTTACTTAACAGTACTGTTCACACTAGCATTTTGTACATTCTTTTATTCATTCAGTAAATACTTGTTAAGCTTTGCAGTGAGTCTCAGAGAGTGAATAGACAACAAAACACATAAAAATCTTTGTCCTTGTAGAGTTTACTATCTAGTGGAAGACCCTGAAGGTGTGTTCAGTTTCATAGTTGCAGATTATATATACATGTAAATGAGCAAACCTTTGTGATTGCAAAATGTTTCCTAGCAGTCTTCTGGATAGTTGATAAACGGCAGATAATAAATGGTGTTTTCTGGAGTGGCGAGGAGAGAGTTGCACAGTGGTCAGATGAAGCTCACCCTTCATAGAACTCAGTGCCTCACGTCTTCTGAACATGCCCTCAGGGCCAAGAAGTCTTGTGGCTTTCCTTTGAAGTCTGTGGACTAGGGAGTAGCTTCCCCTTATTTGTTATCTTTCCTTTTTTAATGTTACAGATTAATTCACTCTTTGTATGCACAGACATCTCTTTGGTACCTATTAAGTGCCTGGCAGAAGGATAAGACACAGTTTATATGGAAATAAGCTTGGTATATATAGCTGTAACACATTGTGCATGATGCTGTAGTAGGAGTCAGAATTAAGAGCTCCAGGACCCTGAAGAGAGCTAATCCCTGCTTGGATCCCTTGTCAGATGCTTTTTTGAAGAGGCTTCATTTGAGTTGGGCCTTAAGGAGTGAGAAGGAATTCCTTTGTTTTAGGGTGGGAAGGAAGTCTGGGCAGAGATAGTGTGAGCAAAGACATAAAAGTGGGCATATACGTGGTGTCAGTGGCAGACTTGGAAGTGGCCACTAGATAAGAGCAAAGACTCTTTGGAGGGAGCGGAAAGAGGTATGGCAGTGCATGCAGGTTGGGTCCAGATCATGAAGACTGTAACTGTTTCCAGAAGTTTGTGAGCAGTGTTAGGTTAGGGACTGAGGCCTGTGT